CAACATTTCAGAGGCTGATGGAAAGAGTACTGGAAGGCCTAGAATGGAGGATAGCTCCAGTGTACCTGGATGATGTCATTGTATTCGCAACAACTTTTGATGAGGAAATGTTCCAGCTAGAGGAAGTATTCAAGCGTTTGAAAGTAGCAAACCTTAAACTCCATCCCAAGAAATGCGACTTGTTCCAGAAAGAGGTGCTTTACTTAGGTCTCATTGTAAGTGAGCATGGTGTGCAAACTGATCCTGACAAGGTGAAAGCAGTGCGTGATTGGCCAACACCAAATAATGTGGGAGAGTTAAAAAGTTTCTTGGGACTCTGTACTTATTAGCGGAAGTTTGTGAAGGACTTTGCAACTATAGCTGCTTCACTAAATGATTTGATCAAAAAAGGCCAGAAGTTTGAATGGACAGTTTCTTGCCAGTATGCTTTCAAGATATTGAAAGAAAAAGTGGCCTCAGCTCCACTTTTAAAGCTTCCAGATCCCTCACTGCCATACATACTGGATTGTGATGCTAGTAATGTCCGGATTGGATGTGTGTTGTCTCAGAAAGTGGGTGAAAACGAACATGTGGTGGCCTACTTGAGTAAGGTCCTAAGTAGACCAGAGATGAACTACTGTGTAACACGGATGGAACTCCTTGCTATAATAAAAAGTCTGACATATTTCCATCCTGTGAATAGCCAGGACATATGAGGAGCCAGTGTAAGAAGAATACTACTAGTAAGTCAGCTTCTGTTATATTCAGTGCTGACGAGGTCTTCTATCAGAGAGTCAACATGTTTCCTGGGATACGACAGACATTAATTATAACGTATGGTCATTTTCAAATGTTATACTTCTTACAATCAAAGTAAGGTTTTACATGTATTTATAGATCTTGCGTGCTAATAAGAGGTCTTTCGGATAGAATAGCGTTTCTGTAATGTTTTTCAGGGGATTAAAGGTTGTTTTGATATTGATTCTTCGAATTATTGTTGAAATTTGTTCTAAAGTTCCTTTCCCATTGCAGGTACATATAAGTCATTGCATATTATAAAAAGTGTTTAGGTAAAGTATGTACATCTATCAAACTGTTTGTAAGAAATTTTGAACCTCTAAATATATACAAGCCCCCGAGTGACACAACAGTATGCGAACTTGCAACGCTAGAAACCGGGTTTCATACAAGTGGTAGGCAGAGCACAGACAGCCCTTTGTGTAGCTTTGTGCATAAATTCAAAACAAAACAAACAAACAAATATATACAATTACTGAATTATACAAGTTAAACACAGCTAGAATTCAGGGTTAAGATAAAACATGTATATTTGCTACTTTCTACTGAATTAGCTTAGTATCACCAAGTAACAGGTCACAAAAAAAAGGCCAAGGTTTTGTGTTTTTTTTTGGTATTTCTTATGTTGATTGAAGAGGAAAACTTGCATTGTATTAAAAACTAGTGTGATGAAATCACATTTATACTTGACTGAATCTCATTGAACGCTTAGATAAACTGTATGAGGAAAGTCTACTAATTCTAGTTCAGTATAGTGTTAGCTAGGTCAAGGTGAGGTGTGTATAACTGCATGAATGTATTGTCGCCCTAAGCATATCTCCAAGGGTATATAAAAGACACTGTAGAAGCTCTAGTATTTATATTCATAATCTTGTTTGTCAGATTCCTCAAAAAACTCTCTTCTTGTAAAGATGTCTTGCGTTATAGTTTTATTCTTCTGCTTGCTCTGTTTTGGTAAGTTATCTTTTATCACCCTGAATTTAATATTTAACTTTGATTTTTATTTGCACCAATAAAAATATGTTAAGAATTTGTATAATACCTTTTAGGAGCACATTCACTTTTAAAACACTTTATTTCGTCCGAAGGGTTAATTTTTTTAAAATTATTATAGAATTCGTATATTATAATTAACTAGTAATATTTCATGCGGCAAGGGGATTTTAATAAAATTAAAGTTTCTTTGCTCTGTCTATATTATATAACCAATCAGTGTTAATCCTTCAAAGTTATCATCAAATAACTGTTGCTAGAAATCTACGAATTATAAAAATTAAATACCTTGTAATATAAAATATTTCTTAAAGGTAAACACGATTAGTAATATGTTATAAAACTTCTTTATTGTGTAAAAAGTAAATAATAATTTTAAAAAACCAAAATACAATAAAACAAAACAAGAGTAAAATTAATTCTGCTGACTACAGTAAAAGAAAAAGAAATAAATATAATTTTTGCTTTTGACCCAAGAAGGTTTATATATCATATTACTTACCAGTAAATAAAAGACCGAATATTAAAGTTTTACATTATTTATTTAAAAGGAATAACTTATCTAATGAGTTACATATGCTTATCTTCACAGAGGGAAATTTGGTAAAAATAACTTCACGAAATTGGTGAAAGTAAAAATTTATGTAAAATATTTATTTACTTATTTAGTTTATATTACGATACTGCGTTTGTAAAAGTTCGTAACCAGGAAAAATTCATTGCTTAAAAAGAGGGCATAAACAAGTAATGATATTATCGGTCTTGTTATGTTAAAAATAAAAACTATTGAAAACTAGTTCATGGCAAACAAGGTATAAAGATAAAATAATGCTTGAGATTACGCTATAGTACTATAATATGGCTGAAGTCCTCGATGACATAATATATTATGACTAATCTAATACTATGTTTGTTTTGAATTTCGCGCAAAGCTACATGAGGGCTATCCACGCTAGCCGTCCCTAATTTAGCACTGTAAGACTAGAGGGAAGGCAGGTAGTCATCACTACCCACCGCCAACTCTTGGGCTACTCTGCTACCAACGAATAGTGGGATTGACCGTCTCTTATAACGCCCTCACGGCTGAAAGGGCGAGCATGTTTGGTGGACCGGGGATTCGAACCCGCAGATTGCGAGTCGAGCTCCCTAACCACCTGGCCATCCCGGGCCCAATCCAATACTTCAATAAGTGGACAACAACAGTACTTGTTATCAAAAGTCAAATGCAAATTAATAAATAAAAAGTAAAAATGTAATTATACTATAAAATCTTAAATAGTGAATAACTGTACTAAGAATAGAAATGTATATAATTAATATACCTGGGGAATGTAAAACTCATCTTACAAGTTTCATTAAAGAAAGTGTTGGTTTTAATATTCGGAAAACTAAAGACGCGTTTTTCGTCGTAACATCTAGTGAAAACTCATTTAAAATCTAGATTTCTATATCAAGGTATTATACGATTTGATAATTTATGGGCACTTTACAAGGTACTTTAATATCTATAATAATACCGAGGTCGATGATCAAAAGAATATAAATGCTGTGAAAACAAAAATATTTGCATTGTTTGAGAAGAGCGCAAGTTTAGATAAATGCAATAAACCAATAATATGTTTGATACAAACACAACAACTGTACAGCGTTTTGCACTGTCGAATGACGTCATAAACACATGCATAAAGTATTGTTACGTATCTGCTCGTTTAATAATTTTCCGTAAACATTCTTTCCGAGACACTTCAGCGATACAAGTCCTTTCTTAATTAAAACTAGTTTTTTCTTTCTCGTTACAAACTTTGTAATACACTTAATTTCCACAGTCACTTTACCTTCAACACACG